GGTTTAGCAGGGCCAAATTAACATGAATTTCTGGATCATCCAAAAGCAACCAACACTGAGATTAATATGGTACAAATCTTACCCAGCACTGCCTGCCTTCTTGATGGAGAATTTACCAAAGTTTCTATCCAAGTCATCATGTACCAGGTACAAGTTTTCTGGCATGATTCCAAACTTGTCAACTATTGTGAAATAAATTAAGTTTGAACACACATGTTAAAATATAAATATAAAAATAATTTATCTCACAGTAAAAAAAAAAATAAATATTAAATATATTTTTAATGGTGACAGAAATTGCATTTTTTCCAAATAAATACCAAATATTAATGGATCCAGAATATATTTTATCATTCTGTAGGATAGTACTGTACCTGCTTTAGCTATGCATATACCATTAATATTCATCATCAACCTTGGTTTCAGTAATATCAATTCTATGTTGTCATATACCGTTGTTCTAGCAACGTCTCCTTGGCAATGGCGATCCTTCACCCAACTTGATCCAGTTGCATTACAGAAGCGATTGAGCACTGCCATACCCACACTGTGCCTTGTGCCAGCCATTGAATAATTTCCAAGTCCAACAACCTAAAGTAACAATCAATAGAATTAGAAGCTTTAAAAATCAAGATAGGACTAGTTTAGGCAGCACTCAGTAAGCTATATCATGGGCACAGGCACGAATGTGGGATGGGGGGTAGTTTATAAATAAAACAACAACTCCCTGATCAAAGATCAAACCAAAGCCAGCCAGGTAACTGTATATGGGATCACTTCCTGAGTTTAAAGGCGCTAATGATAGCGAGATATCAATCATGCTTACAACTCACCAGGAACTTGGCTCCATTGGGCTTGGACTTGGCATATGATGATAAATTTGCTACTACAGTCTTCTGAATGGTGGTTGTTTGATTTACTACTAAAGGAACTTTTACACTCATGTTACCCATCTGAAATACTTATCTTCATTTGATCATGCATGTCCTAGCCAATAAATACAAGAAAACTTTGAATTCATGACCAAACCACGAAACATGCCATTCGTCATGATTGAGCTATGTTTACAAAGATTGTGCTAAAGAATGAACGTTATAAGCATTGGCGGCTCGGCTCGGATGCTATCCAAGATTTTTGTAAACAAAAACAGCGTGCGAAAGATGGCTGGTGGTGGTGTTGGTCTGCAACTTGCTGGTAGACTGGCGCTTGTGACCGGTAGATCTGTGAAATACAATATTGTTTTATTTGTATTTTATTACTTTAAAAATTAGATCCGAAAATACTAATAACCGTTTAACCATAAAATTATTGCATTTCTTTGATTACGAAAGCTAGTAACTGTAGGCCTAGGCCCCCACTCCAGGCTAGGCAAGGAGGAGGAGGCCCTGCCATACTATAGGCTTAGAGAGAGTGAAAGGCTAGCCACCAAGGATCATATCCATGCTACCACCAGGAAGGTATCTTCTGGCGGTAGTACTAGTACAGCTGTAGACTCGAATTCCCGTAGACTCAGGTAGATTTTTCCTATCCAGACTAGGTCTAGGATGAGCACTCCTTTAGGCCTTTTTTTGCAGGGGTCCCAAGTCTCGCGGGACTTAAAATAAGGAAATCTGGACGGCCTCCCGCATTCCCCACAACAAGTAAGCAAGAATCTCCCAACTATGTAAATTCATAGACAATCCGATTTTGTTGTGCACATGGTAGAATGGTGGATGGGGGACCAGGACCCTGTCGGGGAGTGTTCCCTTCCCAATCGGTTAAAGAGCATAAATCATTGAGGAGAAAAAAATTCAATGTAATTTTTACAGAAGGCGCTGGCTACGCCTACATGCACTTTTGTCAGGTACTCGGCATCCAGCCTTCACTCAATCGGGGACGTCAGACCCCTATTCAGCAAATCCTGGCATCAGCCCAGCTTGTGCACAGTGAATGGTCGCTCCAATAATTTTTCAGCAATGGGCCTTCACCGAACTGAATTTTACAGGGTGTCACGGAACACCTGGTTTGGAAGGATTTTAAAAGAACAGTACAGTACTAGTATTTACACAATCTTAATGCAATTTCTGAAATAAAGTTGAAATATAATTATATACTAAGTAATCATCCTTTTCACTTAACTAAACATTCACACGTACATGTAATGTTTCCTGTTTTGAATGTGTCCTATGAAAAAATCTAAATCTATATTTTAAGATGTTTTTTTAATATAATAGGTGGTGGCAGTGGAATTGGCAGATCAATATGTGAAGTCTTTGCCAGAAATGGTGCCAGTGTGGTAGTAGCTGACATTAGTGTTGATAATGCTTCACAAGTAGCAAACAACCTGGCAACAGATTCAGGACCAGACATCAAGCATCATAGCTGCAGCGTGGATGTAGGTGATTCAAATGCAGTGAAGCAGATGGTCAAGGAGACCATGTCCTTATATGGTCGTGCACCATGCATTGCTGTCAACTCTGCTGGAATCACTAAAGACAGCTTTATGGTGTCTATGGAGGAGTCTAGCTTTGATGAGGTCATCAGAGTAAACTTGAAGGTAGTGCAAAATCTGTTCAAATACTGCACATTTTCAACAGCTTTTTAGGTGGGTTTCCACGTGCCCTAGTTAATGCAAGGAGAGGGTTGGTTCAGTTTTCAGAACAGGCTCGCTCAAGAAGTGGGACAACCTGGTTTTCTAGCCTGTGTTTTTGCATCATGTCATTTATTTACAGTGTATAATGGATAATCATTTGTTTCAGGGAACATTCCTTGTAACTCAGGCAATCAGTGTTGCAATGCTAGAGCAAGGAGTTGAGAGAGGCTCTATTATAAATTTAGGGAGCATCTCAGGCAAGGTTGGCAACATAGGACAGTGTAATTATGCAGCATCCAAGGCAGGAGTAGAAGGCCTAACCAAGTCAGCAGCCAAGGAACTTGCCTTGTAAGATTGCATTATTTTACACATGTGTTAATTTATTTATCTTTTATGAAAATTTTACTATTAATACTCAATTCCTTATATCAAATAAATAATTATTATTTAATTTTCACTATGCTGGGTAGCCTGTTCAATAGCATAAATTTTGGGGTTTTTGTTTAGATGATTATTACCTTACTTATGTAGATAAAGTTTAAAATTTACATTTCTTTTCGGAAATGGTGTAATAGGTGCTTGCTTTCTAATAACTGGTGAGAGGATTTGCACAACCATGTCCTTATTATTTTATTCGGAAAATACTTTTTTATTTAAATAATTGTAAGTACAACACTATTAATACATGTCAATTTATTTTTTTTATTTTGTAGGCATGGTATCCGTTGCAATGCAGTTCTTCCAGGTTTCATAAAAACACCCATGACAGAAACAGTACCTGAAAAAGTTGTGTCAATGGTGGGTATCACTTAAGCTAAAGCTTAGGTTGCCCTTGCAACTCAACTGACATCATATGACCTTTGGCAACTTTCCAGCAACTGTGAGAAACTTTTAGTCGAACTATTGAGGCGAAATGAGTGTTTTCTCAACATATTAATAATGATTAACTTGGAATTGTTAAGCACATAGAGTTTTAGATATGCACTATATAAATATACAATAATAATAATAATACTATTGTTAAGGTTGGTTGATGTCAGTTGAGTACAGTTGCAAGAGGGACATAATCTTAGGGTTAAGTTTCTTCCTTTCATATTAAAACTAAGATGCATGAAGAATGGTGACAGTCAAAACTTTTCTTCCAGGATGACACTATTTAATGATGTTTAAAAGTAAACAAGTGTCTAAGTGACATATACAAATTAGAAATGTAAACAGCATTCATCCAACTGTATTCTTATATCAGTAGGAAAGCCACTGGAAAAATCGTGTCAAATTTCGCATAGGAGAGGGCGCCCTATTTTTCAAAATTAGTTCAAATTATTGAAATTTGGTGGTGTTTGAAAAAACGTTAATTCATCAAACAACTTACTTAACAAAACAAAAATAATGGTGAAATATGTTTATAAATAGTTTAACAATACAGTGAAATACTTTTGGTGTATTTTGACCGAAACGATAAAGTGTAATTTAGTGGACAATTCGTGGTACACAATTTTTACGATTTTGTGCCCTAGAAAATCGTTAATTTAAAATAGAAAAAAAATTTGATCAGAAATGAATTCAAAATCCCTGCTATAAAAATTTATAATCTATAATTTAGGATATTAAGATAACAAATTGAGTAGCTGGGACGCAAATCCGACTCTGGAAACTAAGGGTACCTCCATTTCGTTGGACCCAAACAGTAGCGTGTACTCCATTTTGGAAACGTCGGCGATCATAATCAGGAAGATCGTATTTATACAGAGCATTTCCAAGACCGTCTGTTACACCAATAATTAATATGTGTGAAATAAATATATACCATTAAAATGAATATTATTACATATTTAGTGTTCCAACTTTATAATTTATGGATAATATTTCTGTTGGTTTCTATTACGATTCGTATGCGAGGCTGAGGCCTAGGCCGCGCACATTGGGGGGGCCTAGCATATTCGCGTACCCGTAAATATGCAGCGAGGATAATGCCTATTTAAAAATGGCTCCAATCTTTCTGAAATCTGTATCTTGTTGGCTTGATGACAAGTGTAGGCCTACATGAACTAATTACCGTCCTTCACAAGTTCATCATTCACAATTTCACTCAATATATGTGATTTTCAGGACTTATAAAGGAGAACAAGACAACATTTTTATTTTTATTTTTATTAAATCATTTTCCTTCTCTATGATTTGTAATACTGTAATAATAATCATTTCATACACCTGCTTCTAAATATTAACATGAAATATAAAAACATACATATGATTATGATATGGAATATACCACACCCCTTCCCCCATCTTCTTAAAGAAAACTCCTTCAGAGGTTATATAAATATGGTACATTTCCATGAGAGAGACTTTAATATAGGCCGGAACTTATTACTGTAGAAGTGGGGTAGCAACATTTCATGCAGGTATTACAAAATCTGCTTCTTATAAGAAAAATATTCATTATACGGTCAATAAGCATCAAACATCATTATTTGGCTTATTAAATATGTTATAAATAAATTTAATGATCATGTTTTCATAATGTAAACATTAAAAAGCAAAGTCAATATTAATTACTGATATTGATTTAAAATAGTGCTGCCTAGTGTTTTTCAGCATGTTTTTTTTCCCTTAGGCAGGCTTTCTGAGGGATTTGAGTCATTCTGAACCTGAGTTCAGTGGTTATAAATCCTTGTCACCATTTAAAAATTCACTTTCATAACTGACATTGTTGGTCTGCAACCGTCCAAGTTTGAATATATTTACAGTTCATTTACAATTTCATGTCCCTAAAATAAAATATATTTGCAGATTACAATAATTAATACTACTAGAATACAATGTATCAAGAGATATGCTTTGGTATTATTTTTTACTAATTAAATATTTCTCACTCAAAGTCATATGCCTGAAAATATTATTTTGTGAAACATCCCTCCTAGGCCCTAGCATAAATTAATGGCAAAAATCATGAATCCCTAGGCCTGCTGTAATTATAGAATAATTATTATATAGAAATATGTGCAAGGTTTGGGTTTATAAGCCATCCTAAACTAACACACATGGAATGCATTTGCATTCAGACGCTATAATACAATGGATCGCACTGCAATGCAGCCTGCCGTAGTGCTACATCAGTTCTCGCTCAGCTACCACTACCGCGTGCTCACATGCTCAAAAAACTGCCTAGCATTTTACGGCCTAGAAGTATAAATAACAATTTTTGATCAGAGTTGAAACAAGTCTTACCCGACTAAATTAAGATTAAACATGATAAATCAACACTTCAAAAAAATATTGATTAGCTGGGGCGCAAATCCGACTCTGGAGAAAATTGTAAATAAATTCATAGACAAGTCGTACCAGATTTTAACTATTTCGCCTATGTCAACATCAACCAGTGAATGCTTACGCCAGCGTCAGTGTGACCACTCACAATTTTTGATATACCCAATGTCTGGGTCGAAATTACCCAAGATTCAGCAAAAATTGCCCAAAATTACCCACGCTTCCTGAAAATGCATTAAAATTTAAAAAATATGTGTTTTTTGCATGCATAGTTTCCCTTTTAGTTTAATTTATAAACCAATTTTTTATTGTAATTGTTTGTGTTAATTATTAAAATTAATATTCATGAGGTGATAATACAGATAGAAAAATACGCCCTAAGTCGGCCAGTGTTATCAGTAGATCAGTGATCAAGTTTTATTATGTAATGCATTAATTAGGTAAGATCTATGGCAACACAAATCACAAATAAACAATTCTGAACCCATATTTATAGCAATTAACAGTCAATTAACAATGTTATGTGCACTTCGTTGAGTTTTGCTTACTTGAATGGACTGAAATATACTTTGTTACTTCTTAATTCTTCCTCAATGACTAAAATATTTAATTTTCTTAGTAAAAATAAAATACCCAAGGATTTGAACGGAATACCCAAGAACCCAAGACCAAGTCAAAATACCCAAGATCTTGGGTAAATACCCAAGCAGTGGTCACGCTGGCCAGCGTAGGTTTTTTCGAGAAAACCCAATTGGTTAGCAAACTAGACATATTAGGAAATATTGTTACCATATAAGGAAGCCATGGGCGGGCCTTATCTATTAATGAGAATTATAAATACAGCTGATGTATTTTTGCTAAGCGACGCTAAAACGTGGTTACGCTTTGAAACGATAGGTGGCGCTGCGCAAAGCAAATGCGGAAGTAAGATCGAAAAGTCGCAATATAACGGACAAATCGCCTATCGGCTGTCCTACTGATATGCAAATATCCTGATTTATATCATTTTGTCTATAATTTGACTTTACTTTACAGTGGCAATCCCATATGCTAACACAAATGTCACATATAACTGTTATGCATCCTGTTGCATTGTAAAATGTATGTACATGTATTCTAATTCATCTGCCCCTTTGGTTGGCTGTAATACATGATATAAGTCACAAAAAATATTTTATAATCATTAAGCATTTAACGAATGAAATGAACTGTTTGCCTACTGGCTTAATGTCCCACTACAAATATTTTGATTAATACTAATAGTAATCAATGTATATATTCAGATGAAGAAGATGATTCCTGCTGGGCGAATGGGTGAGCCGTCTGAAGTTGCTGAGGCTTGCCTGTTCCTGGCATCGGACCAAAGTGGCTACATCACAGGCACAACAATAGAAGTAACAGGTAATGAATACATCATGTAATAAAATGCCTACTTCATGTTTATTGGCAATCTGAGATTCCTATACATTGATTGGTAGAGATAAAGGCACGTAATGTTGTATTGCCATGTTGCTGTTGGTTTGGCACAGTGGTTGCGGTTCTGCTTCTCTCCCTTGAGGTCAGAGTTCAATCCCTCACTGTGTATTTCACTTGTGTCCTTAGGCAAAGCACCTTAACTACGTTCGTCTTTCTCCACCCAGGAGTACAAGTGGGTACCTGGTAGGTGCGAACACAAAAATGTGCCGATGACAGCTGCAACATTATAGAATTCTCCCAAGGGACCTGAGTATGTGTTTCATATGTGGTTGACCCAATGACCGGGGGTAAAAATCTTTTAAGCGCATAGAGGTCTTAACAATTATTATTATTTATTATTCCATAAACAGTTATAAATATTATTTTAAATAAGAATAGGCAAAAATTATGTAAATTTAAAAAAATATGTAAAAAAATGTTAATTTTGATACTGTAGGCCTACTGTACCTTAAATATGTTCATTTACTATGATTTTTAAATTAAGCCCTTCATTCTCCTTTTTCCCCACAGGAGGACTATTTGCATGATGTCTTTCAAGATTTATATAAATATTAATTTATAAATGGCTTAAGGATTTCCAAAAATATGGGAAAACTAAATTTAATTCAAGTTTTTGAAATAGAAAATTACATCAAATAGACAATTAAAGTTATATGAAAAAATAATAGTTATTAAATTTTCATCATGCCAAGCCTTTAATGGTTAGTCAATTCATTTCTTTGTGTTTATGTTTAGTGAAATCTCATTTTATTTTAAAATGCGTAGGTTAAAATACCGTGTGTTACTGGAAAATCAGTTGAAGCTAGGCTGTTTACTATCCAGAGTATTAGGTTAAATACTAAAATATTTCAATCCAAACTAATAACAAATCGTGACTGATAAGGTCAGATTGTATGTTATTTTACAGATAAAATCAATACATGAAGAATATGACATTCACATATTTAAAAATATTCACAAAAGAAAAAAATATTCAAGAGACAACAAGCATCAAAGAGACAACATAAAAATGCTGAATAAGGTCATTTGGGCAGATGGTTTTATATTAGTCGCAATTTCGCAAAGGGCCTATGAGCTTATTAATGAAGAAACTCGCCTGTCACGAAACAAAATTGTGATATGTTACAGAGATCTATGTAGGTGGAATTTGTTGAGATCTTGGGAATTTGTTCAGGCCGTTTGTGAATTTGTAAGAGTAACAAAGTTGCAGATTTTTTGTGTATTTTCAAAGCACTCATAATAGGAACCTAGGCTGA